CGGAGGAGATATTTTTAGTGTATGTTCCCTGTCCGTGTGGGGACGGCTCTGACTTGGCCTCTTCCTTGTGCTTCTTGAGCAATGTCCATCCCCCACCAAAAGCCGTCGTGGACTTAGATCCAGCATCCCCTGCTGGCATGGTGAGCTCCAGCTGAGCTGCCGTGCGGAGACCCACGGTGGTGGGGTTCAGAGGACGGTGAGCAGGGGCTGGGGTCTCGCAGCCAAGGTCTTCCGCAGGTCTGGTTTGCGAGACCCCATGCTGACTCTGTAACCCTGCATCCCCCTGTCCCTTGCTGCTGCCAGCCTTGGCTGAGAGCTCAGGGCTCTCGTGGCTGTCGGGATGTACTGGTGCAGGCAGGAGGAGCATCTCTGCTGTGGCACCAGCAAGGTGGATTGGAGGTAGCACCTTTGGGGACAGCCTGCCAAAGCCATGCCCAAGCTGTCACTTGGCCCTGATGAAGGACAGGGCTGTGTACCCACCCTCTCCGGCCCCCCTGGGATGCAGGTAGAGAGCAGGGACTAGATGAGGCAGGCGGAGGAGAAAGCGTTTGCCTGCTGCCGGGGCACCTGGATCCAGCGCTGCTACTGTGGGAAATACCCAGGGGTGCACATTTGTTCCCCGCTGGCATGGGCAGGGGTTGAGCTGGCAGATGTATAAGAGGCTTTGTTCTTTGCTATCAATCCTCTGAGCCACCCAGCTCCTGCGCCCGGAGCCTGGGGAAGATAATAGCTCCCTGGCTTATGGTGCCCACAAGATCTCGTGCCCTGCAATCCGCAGGGATCAGGCTCCACATAGCTCCTTGAACTGCTTAGTTTCTCTCTGCCTGGAAGCTGTCATGAAGTTGGGCCCTTGCACAGGGGACTCGGGACTGCCAGCAAGAGAACTCTGCTGGCTCAGCTTGGGCTGGTGCAGCATCCCCTGCCTGGGACTGGGACAGCCAGGTGTCCCCTGCCCAGCCTCCTGCCCTTCCCAGATCTCTGGGGCTGGGGGAGGACCTGGGACACAGGCAAGCAGGAGGGGTCTGGGGGCCGGCTGGGGCTCTCCAGCCTGGCGGCCCATCCCTGGGTGACGTCTCCCCAGAGCCATCATGGTTTTTAGGAACAGCAGCCAACTGCCCCAGTCCTCTCCGATAATGAGGCCTCGTGTTGGCTGGTGTCACTCAGTTGTGGCTGCTCTTGGTGGCTGACTGCCTGTGTCACAGGGTCTCCTGGATCATCGCTTCCTTGGGCTGGTCCCCGGGGTGGGGGGTGGGGTGAGGATGCTGCCAGGCTGGGTCCTGCACCTCTGCCTTGTGTCTGGCCTTGCTGCCGTGGCTGGGAGGTGACGCTGGCGCGTGGGCAGGAGGGCTGGGCTGAGACCCCATCTTGGGGGTAAGCTTGAGGGTCAGTGGCACTGGATATAGAGAGATATATATATCCGGTCGCATCAGTGCGCTTTGACTCACGGGGAGGGTTGTCAGCCTCGCAGCTCTGCTGGGGAGCGTTATATTTCTGCTATGTGAGTAACCTCCTGAGTCTGCAGGGAGGTGGCACCTCTCTGGCTGGCAGGGTGTGCAGGGACATCCTGCTCCGAGGGAAGCACTGAGCTCCAGTCCAGCTGCCTCTCTGCTCCCTTGCATGGGACTTCCTACTTCCAGAGGTGGTCTGGGCAGCCTGGCTCTGCCTGGGGACGATTGGGAAGAGCACAGACCCTGGTGCCTTCTACTGGGAGGAGCTCAACCATTCTAGGAGTCTTCACTTGGTGCTTGGGGCAGGAGAAACTTAATTTACCAGTACCAGGGAGGTGATGGTGACACCAGACCTCCCAGCTCAGGGGAGGGGGACCAAGGGGAACGGGCAGGGTGCTGACTAAGGCTGAGCAAAGAGGCAGCTCCTTTCCATGGGGGTGTCAGACACCCAAGGACCTTCTACGCTGGGTTGCCACCAACCTTTAAGACTTTTCTTCTTGCCCAGATGCCAGCCAGGATATCATGGAGAGAGATGCCACGGCCTCTCGCTGCCTGTGGAGCACCCCCCCAGCGCATACGACCACACCACGGCACTGGCTGTTGTTGCTGTTGTCCTGTCCTCCCTGTGCCTCCTCATCATTGCAGCCCTGCTGATGCTCAGGTGAGTGGGACAGATATGAGTCATTGGATCCACGTCCCCGGGAAGACCACGTGCAGGCGAGCGTGGCAGGGACTTCTCCATGCTCTGAGCATCTCTTTGCTTGGCCTCACAGGTGTCACAAGAGGGGTGTCTACGATGTAGAAAACGAAGAGAAAATCAAGCTGGGCATCACCGTGAATCACTGAGGATGCTGGGTGCTGGCGAGGTGAGCCCCTGGCCGGGCATGGGACAGCAGTGGGGCTGGTGGGCATCTGGGGGCCCTCCTTGTTCACACTGGCTGGGACTGTTGTGTGGATCCTGTGCCAGAGCCAGGCAGGAGCTGAAGACAGTCTGAGCCTGGAGAAGTAGCTCGCTGGATTTGGCCTGAGAGCCTGGGCTGCCCCGTGGGGCTCGGGCCCACTTGCCTCCCCTTCCTGCTCAAGCCCCTGACACCCCCAGCCACCACCACCTCCTCCTTTCTAACCTTAAGTCCCTGCTTTGCCCTGTCGCTGCATGCTTTGGGGACATTTGGCGGTGGGGAAGCTGCTTCTGGTTTTTTGGGTTTTTTTTCCCACTTGTTCTGCTCCCTCTCTGACCCTCTGAGTCACTTCCCCTCCTTAGATATTGCCTCTATTTATATATTAAAAAAAAAAAACAACCCTTCCTTTTCACTCCCACTCTGCTTATTACTTGCACCAACGTAATGCCTTGCAGCTGGGCACGGGGGGATCTTGCTGCCAGCCCCATGCGATGTTACTCTGGCTGGGCGGTGGGGCGTGCTCTGCCCCAGGGGTGGCCCTGTGGCTGTGGCCAGGTGCTGGAAAGCTTGCAGACTTCCTCTGGTCTGGTCCAAGCCCTGATGTGCCCATATGTATCACAGCTACTTCTCTCTTTTAAAAAAAGAAAAATCTTTGTTTTTTGTGAGGATGAAGTAATGCCTTCAAAGAATTTCTGTAATGTTGGTAATAGTGTTGGGGGTGGGATTTTTAGCTCTGTTTATAGGAGTTGAATTTTGGGGAAGGGGATGCAGCACAAGGATTTCATCACTGTCCCCTCTGCCCTGGGGATTACTGGGGTGGATGTGTCTGGGGGGAAAAGTGCTGTGGTCCCTGGAAGGGAAGCATGGCGGACACGGGGTGGGATGCCTAGCCACCGCTTCCCCGGCATCCTGGCTCCCATCCTCCCGGGTCCAGCCCCTTGACGCAGCGAGCGGC